CAGGGCCAGAGGACTGCTGCCCAAACAGATGGTTGTTCATTTTAATGTATTGTTTGTCCTCAGAGCTCCAGTGTTGGTGGCCCTGGCTCTAATTGAGTGTGGGATGGAATATGAAGATGCTGTTCACTTCATAAGACTGTGAGTACAAAACACTGACTCAACTGTTTTCCATTTTATCTGTCTGCACTAACAACCGCTCTGTCTTTTCATGTACCATATTCAGCGCCGTCATTCTTTGTATAAATACTGTTTCTCGTGTTGAGGTCAATGTCTCTTTCGTGTCGTCAGGAAGCGTCGCGGAGCGTTCAACTCCAAGCAGCTGCTTTACCTGGAAAGCTACAAACCTAAACTGTGTCTGCGCTCCAAAGATGCCAACGGACAGAGCTGCTGTATACAGTAGGGTTCTCCAACCCCATTCATCTTCACTGCAGCTTCACAGGAGACTTTCATGTTTTGTTGTTAAATGGAACGTTGACATGTTTGGGTAACATTTTTTGAGAATAAAGCACCATGCATTTCCAAATACTTAAAGATCTCTTCTAACACCATAGACAGACAACTTCCAATTTTACATACAAAATGAACCAAAAAAGTGGAAGTGTTAAAGGTTTTTATTTTGCCTCTACCCAGCCCATTAAAGGGAAGCCCCCAAAAAGAATTTGTTTAAACTCTCAGCGAAAATCACTGAAATTAAAAGTTAAAAACATTTATTTAAACTCTCTCAATTAACTGTTGCAGGGGCAGCTACAGTAAATGCTGTTGATGTTAACAGTTCAGAGTAAAAACTTTGACATTGAAATCAGACATTAAAGAATATTCTGTCAGTAGACAAACACGCCTGACAGTTGATTTCATTCTTGCGATGTTAAACTGGTCTGCAGCTTGACATCTGTTCTAAGCCACAACACTACAAATGCTGAATACATAGTTGTCAGTATGTGCTTTCAGAGGCTTGCTGGTTTATTGCACATCAATCCACACAGTGGTTCAGACTGATCTGTTTGTTCCAATCTTTCCTCACTGACCAAATCAACGTCCTGCAGCCGGGATGTGGCACAGATCAAAAAGAAAGTTAGTACAATATTTACAAAATTTGCTTAAAGAGGATAAAAAGTGCTCTCAGTTTGATTCAAATGTGATATATGCTGTATTAAACAACACTACACTCTACCTAACCTACTGTATGTCCTAAGTCAGAGTCATAGGATCACAGACCACTTCTCTAGAACAAACTTGTGTTGGCTGTAAATGTTTGACACTGTCCTTCATAATGACACCAAGGCGAGAGGGCCGACATGTTAGTTTGTGAATGTATTCATCATAAATAAACACTTTAAGGTTCGGGTAGATTGTCCTGTTAGCTGTCTAGTGTAATGACCACAAATAAAATCATCAATATGTCCTCACTAATACATTGGCCCTTGCTCCATGCCTCCACTTCTGCATATACAATGTAGAGGGGCAGCATACAGTATGTGGTATTAGTCTTCCCACTAGGCATAGTATATTAGGTGGAAATTGTGTGATAACAGTACAGAATGTGTTGTTAAATAATAGTAGGCTCCATGCAAACACATGAGCACGTACTATTCACGACACTAGAGATATAATGAGAGCTTTTGGTAATAGAAACATCGTTTTGGTGCCCCGGTTGTCATCACTGAACAGTTACATTTACTAATGGGACAATCTCCTAAACACTTTCTGTATTCCTATTACAACCCCCACTGAACAGGACTGTGGAGCCAACATGGCTGCCACTGAAACCCTAGTGGCCATAGTTCTTGTCTGTCTCCGGCTCTGTACTTACCTAGCTGTCTGCTCAGCTGCTGTGTTCGTAAGACGCTGTTGTGATGTTATTATTTTTCTATAGGTTTGAATTTCTCTCCCTGTACCTTTTATCTATTTGTACTTGTTATTATTTATTGATTCCACAGTGTTTCTTTGTGAAATGTCTGTCTGCTTGAAAAAAAAAAATCTATTAGTCTTCTTAGAAAATAAAGTGTTTAGTACTGTAACTGATGCGTGTCGGAGAAACTGTTTTCAAAATCATCCTATCTGTAGTTTAATGTGTGTCACACTTAACATTTGTTTTCAAGCATACCTGCATACAATGGATCATATTCTCAAAATAATTTCAGATTAAGATCCACTTAAAGACAACTAGTGTAGTATTGATCAGTCACACTATATGATATCTATGAAATAATCACTTTGGATAATGAAAAGTCAGGACCTATATATTATTTTTATGAATGTTTATAAATTGAGCTTTACATAAAAGCTAGCAGGTTGCTTCTCCAACGGTTGCAGATCACAGTGATTGGACTGCATGTTGGGTTATAGCTGCTACATGGCAGCTACCCAACATGAGGCTGAGCCTGATCTGACCTCCATGAACTGTGTGTGTGTATGTGTGTGTGAGGGAGAGAGAGAGAGAGAGCGCGCGCCTCTGGCTGTGCTGTGTGAGTGTGGCTGTCAGGGTGGAGTGATAGCGCCACACAGAGCCGATGGACGATTCAAGGTTGATTGGTTTTATTGACTGACCTGACAGCACACACGCACATGAACTAGCCTTGAACAAAAGAGAACAAAGTAGATGAATAGAATAAATGTCCACAAATTGGGTTTAAGACTCAATTCTTACTGATGTGTCTGAGGAGTGTTGGATCAGTGAACTGAGAAGAAATAAAGTGATTTCGGTGGACTCATACAGTTAGAACTAAAGTGCTGTACAAAGGGATAAAACACTGATGCTGGGCAACACACTAACAAGAAAGAAAGCTTTTCTGACCAAAAACAATATATAAGAGGGTTCTTGGAGTTTTATTTAGGCCCTCCAAACCAAACAACCTACAACCCCGAGAACCCCTTTTTCTGTCTAAATGATTCTAAAACCATAACTGTTCACTCAGTGCACACGCAGGTGCTAGTTTATAAGGTACGTCTTGCTTATTTCGTCCATCCCATTTATGCCAGTGACGGTAGGCTAAATAACAAACACTTATCTACACAACGTATGTCCTCCAAAATGACCATAGAGTTGAATCAACACCTCTACAACAGTTTCAACCTAAACTGAACTCTATAACCTTTGTTAAGTGCATTTATTGCAGGACTGCTGTATGAGACTGCACTACTTTTAGCTTAGCTGTACCTGGGGTGTAAAGCGTAAATGAAACAGTGTTGGTTGCTCCTGTGGACAGTAGATGGCAGTAATGTCCTGCCGGATAGTGAACTATTATAATGCAGTCATTTGCACTGGAGTTGAAATGTAAAAAAAAATACTTTCTTAGTTCTTCAGGTGCGATAAACGGTGAATCTGTTTCTGTTTACAAAGCTTAACACACTACAACAACAACAACAACAACAACAACTCTTCTGATTAAGTCCTGCAGTACAGTGTCAGATGAATAATGGACAAATGTCAGCAAAGTTACGACTGTACTGTGATGTACTGTATTATGGTCTGTACACTGTGACTTTAAATGATCAGTCAGGAGACACACACACACACACACACACACACAGAGGCCTACAGTGTCCTTGGCAGCAGAGGACAGCTCTGTGATAATCTGCTCAATATATGACAGCTGAACATCTCTAAGCTCGCTGTAAGGTACACAGCCCTGTGTGTGTGTGTTCAGCGTTCAATGGAGTCAGAATCACTGCTATGCTTTTCCTTTTTTTTTTTAAATAAAACATTTTAAGTTACAAATGTATATGACAGGGTGTCCACTGGGTCTCACGAAGTCTAACAATCTCAGTTCTAGGCCCTAAAGGACCAGTGTGTAGGATTGTGTGGCGTCTAATAGTGAACAGGTTGTGAAATATGTAGGAGAAAGAACGGTGGCTGCAAAAGACAGATCTACAGCCAGTGTTTGGTTTGTCCCTTCTGGACTACTGTAGAAACATGGCGGGTCAACATGGCGGACTCCATGGAAGGCGACTGTATTCTGAGGTAACGAGAACACAATGATTCCTATACTCAGGTGATTATACACTAATGAAAACATATCTATAAATATTATATTCCATTTCTGCCAATAGATCCTCCTAAATGTTCCACACTGCACCTTTTAAATGTACATGACTTTGACAGGTCTTACAAATTGATTGGATGAATGAAGTTAAGGTTACTATATTTAAAGTTGCATTTTTCAGCCTCGCTTTTAAATGTGATTTTTGGGGAAACCTTTTTTTATTAATCACGCTGTAACCACCAATGCTGATTTACCTCCACCTTTGTACTTTTCTTTGCTTTGGACGTAAAATAGGTCTTAAATCACATTGAGTATGGTCTTTAATACCTGTTACACATTACACAAACACAGCGTTAACCTGTTGAACTCTGCAGAACACCTGTATGGATAGGGATGAAGAAAGAAAACAAGTGGGAGAAAGACAGTGCAACACTGAATTAAACAGGAAAACACTGCTGCTGCTCACACAGCCGAGAGGGGGCGCTCTCACTCAAAATAACACCAATTAACGTCTCTGGAAAACAGTATAGATTTGTATATTAGTGATTGTTCCACGACCTATGTTTGCTACATATTGCACTGAACCTGTAGGCTATATATCGAGAGGAGGAGGAGGAGGAGGAGGAGGAGACCGGGGGCTGATGGGAGGGATGATCGGGACGGTGACCCAGTTCTCCCTGCAGAGCAAACCGGAGGACCTCCTGCTGATGACCAATGGATGAAATCAGAGACATTCTGATAATGAAAATACAACTTGTGTTTCCTCTGTCGGTGTGAAACAGGAGAGAGAGAGAGAGAGACTCAGCTGTGTGTGTGTGTGAAGAGAGAGGAGAGAGAGAGAGGGAAGAGAGAGAGGAAGAAGAGGGGGATTGGACAGAGAACAGGGGTTAGGGAGCTGCTGAGTTTTTGTTAGTTTTTTCTCAGCAATCTGGATATCTCGGCAACGGACGCTGAGGAGGAGAAGGAGAGTTCGGGGTGGGAACTTAGCTTGGAACCTGAGGAAGAGAGCGAAAAAGCATCCAAGAAGAAAAGTGGGGACCGGGGAAGGAGGACAAATAGAGGAGGAGAGAGTTCCTTTTTTTCTAAACGGGACAGGAGGACTGAGCAGCGGGAATGTTGCCGGTGAGTTTCCATTGATAAGAGTGTCGAGAGGAGTTGCTCTGTGCAGATGGGACCACTGGCCAAGTATGAAGGACGGAGAACGATACAGTGTGAGGGCCTCATAGAAGAGAAACGCGCCACAGGTCACCTCATTAGCCTCATTATTAAGAAAAAAGAAAACTTTTTGTCCTATTGTAATGCAGGCCCAAGCCAGTTTTCAAAGCGACTGTCTTGAAAGTGACTTTACACAACAAAAGCCGGTTTAACATCATTTTAAAATTGTATCAGTTAGGCACATTTCAAAAAGTAAAGAACCCGGAAGTTCGCCCTCCACCTTTCAAAATTAAAGAAATAGCAAAGTTGTGTTTGGAGACATTAAATAATTAACATTCATAATTCCAAGCAGTGTACTTTCAATAGACAGTGACAAAGTCTTTATTGTAACAAATATTTTCTTGTAATAGGCCTATCAGTGTGTGGTGTTTAAGTTTAAGAGAATGCTGTCATCCTTTGAAGTCCTGGTTATATAGTATTTCTCTGTGTGACATAAATTTCTATACTATCTATATCTCCATAGTACCTACTGGTAAATTATATATATACTATA